AGTAACAATTCTGTGGCCCTAATAACGTTTCTGTGGCCCTAAGTAACAGTTCTGTGGCCCTCAGTAACAATTCTGTGTCTGTCCCTGAGTAACAATTCTGTGGCCCTAACTAACAGTTCTGTGGCCCTCAGTAACAATTCTGTGTCTGTCCCTGAGTAACAATTCTGTGGCCCTAATAACGTTTCTGTGGCCCTAAGTAACAGTTCTGTGGCCCTCAGTAACAATTCTGTGTCTGTCCCTGAGTAACAATTCTGTGGCCCTAAGTAACGGTTCTGTGGCCCTCAGTAACAATTCTGTGTCCTGAGTAACGTTTCTGTGGCCCTAAGTAACAGTTCTGTGGCCCTCAGTAACAGTTCTGTGTCTGTCCCTGAGTAACAATTCTGTGGCCCTAATAACGTTTCTGTGGCCCTAAGTAACAGTTCTGTGGCCCTCAGTAACAATTCTGTGTCTGTCCCTGAGTAACAATTCTGTGGCCCTAACTAACGTTTCTGTGGCCCTAAGTAACAGTTCTGTGGCCCTCAGTAACAATTCTGTGTCCCCTGAGTAACAATTCTGTGGCCCTAATAACGTTTCTGTGGCCCTAAGTAACAATTCTGTGTCCCTCAGTAACAATTTCTGTCTGTCCCTGAGTAACAATTCTGTGGCCCTAATAACGTTTCTGTGGCCCTAAGTAACAGTTCTGTGGCCCTCAGTAACAATTCTGTGTCTGTCCCTGAGTAACAATTCTGTGGCCCTAACTAGCGTTTCTTTGTCCCTAAGTAACGATTCTGTGGCCCTCATTAACAATTCTGTGTCCCTGAGTAATGCTTCTCTGTCCCTAAGTAACGTTTCTCTGTCCCCAAGTAACATTTCTGTGGCCCTAACTCTGTCCCTAATACAGAGCGGTCTGCCTCTCTTGAATGACTGGAGGCAAATGAAGAATTCTAAAATGGCCGCTATTTATAGCTCGACCATTACACAGTGCTGGCTGGCTGGCTGCTGATTGGCTGATGCGATCACATGTCATTAAGGAATGCATTATGGGTCAGCGCGCCTTGTCTGCGCGCCTTCCCAGACATCCCCGCTCCGTCGCCGCACATGTCCGCCGCCATTTTAGGAAAAATTTCGATTCGCGCGTCCGAAGTAGGCTATTTTTCGGATTCGGCGCGAATCGAAAATTTTCCGATATTCGACTCGAATTCCACTTCGCCTACTTCGATTCGCTCATCTCTAATGACAGTCTATAATCAGGAACTCTGGGGTCATATCCTAATAATGGGACCATTGAAGAGAAAGGTGCATTGCCATCATTATGCGCAGGTCGGCAAGGTGAGATGTAACATTGAAGTCAGCTGATAAGGGGGGATGGGTGGTCATTATGGACACAGCCTATGATGACAATAAGATACTGGAGAGTGCAAAGTCTGGTGAAGCTCTGCATAGGAACCAATCAGCTTCCAGGTTTTATGTCAAAGCTTAATTGAACAAGCTGAAGTCAGAACCTGATTGGCCCCCATGCACAGCTGCCCCAGATTTTGCACACTCCAGTTTTAGTAAATCAGCCCCATTGTGTCCATCTGAGATGGTTTGTGGCAGATCCCGGGGTTGTGAGTTCCATTCAGTACAATGTCTTTGGGTTCTCTTGCTAGTTGACTGCCCCCTTGTTAGTTGAGGTGTTTGTAGTCATAGAGGTGTTGGGTCATGATGGAATGATGTTGTGTCAGGTGAATGGTAGGCTCTGACCTGGTTTTATCTGCCAGCTCTGTGTTGATTCGCTGAGTTTTCTATTGTTTGTTATGTCCATCCTTGGAATTAGGGAGGACAGTATGATGTTGGAGTGAGGACATTTCTGTTGTGCGGTCTCTGTTAGTTGTAATAGTTTATTCTCAGAGGCTTCCTTTTGTCCCTGGAGGATGTTTGGGTCGGTGTGTATGATGATATGTTTGTGTCTGTGTGTGTAAGGTGTGTATGATGATACGTTTGGGTCGGTGTGTATGATGATACGTTTTGGGTCGGTGTGTATGATGATACGTTTGGGTCGGTGTGTATGATGATACGTTTGGGTCGGATCGTTTCTATGTGTATGATGATACGTTTGGGTCGGTGTGTATGATGATACGTTTGGGTCGGTGTGTGTGTATGATGATACGTTTGGGTCGGTGTGTATGATGATACGTTTGGGTCGGTGTGTATGATGATACGTTTGGGTCGGTGTGTATGATGATACGTTTGGGTCGGTGTGTATGATGATACGTTTGGGTCGGTGTGTATGATGATATTTGGGTCGGTGTGTATGATACGTTTGGGTCGGTGTGTATGATGATACGTTTGGGTCGGTGTGTATGATGATACGTTTGGGTCGGTGTGTATGATGATATGTTTGGGATGATTGGTGAAATACGGATCATTGATGACTCCTGTCGCTTGTTCAGTTGTTGGACTTGAATTTTGTTGTCTCTTGTTCCTGGGAAGAGCCGTTTGGTGTTTAGATATTTCCCATTGGAGTCTATTAATAACAAAAGAATCCGAGTTTGTTGGCTGTTCTTGTGATTTGATGATTGTTTGTAGGGATGGGCTTCATGGTCGAGTTGAACCTAAGTTTGATTTGAACATGGGCCGTTCGTGTGTTCAGCAAACACAAACAGTATGGGCATTCAGTGGGCTGTTTGCCCACCATGCCCCACAATGCACTGCGCCCTGATAGTGCATTGTGATAGGACAAAGCAATGCACCTAACCACAAGTCAGGTGTAATACTTTGACCAATCACAGTGCGTGGTGATGTCACAAGGGGGCGGGGTATATAAAAACTGTTGTCACAGGTGCAGCTGTCAGACAGCTAGGAGCCAGCATAGCAAGCAGAGCTTTTTTCCCTTTTTTTGGGGTAGCGATGGTGGCAGGATCGTGATTGACGTTGAATCTACTTTGGGGGACATTTTTTAAAATGTTTATTTTCAATAAAGGACTTGTTAAAGACTGTCTCCTGTCATTTTCTACACTTTTTTTGTGAATGGGTAGCAGTACCATATACCGCCTACTCATTTACATAGGCGGGGGGGGCCAGGATCTTTGGGCCCCCTTGTTAAAGGGGGCTTCCAGATTCCAATAAGCCCCCCAGGCTACAGACCCCTGCAACCACAGGCTACAGTTGTGGGAAAGAGGCCCTTGTCCCCATCAATATGTGGACAAGGTGCTTTGGGGGGCTCCCGACCCAAGGCACCCCACCATGTTGCGGGCATGTGGCCTGGTATGGTTCAGGAGAGGGGGTGCTCACCTCCTGATATGGATTTTTGGGGGACCCCCATGCCATTTATAAAAAAATAATTGGCATAGAGGGTTCTTCTCAAAATCCATACCAGTCTCGAAGTGCTTGGTATGGATGAGAGGGGGACAACAAGCTGGGTTTTTTTTAATTGCTGGGCAATGCTGACAATTCTTTTGACATTCAGCTGTCAGCAGGAAACCCCACTGACACCAGGAACATGAATGAATGTCTCACTACTAAAATACCGCGTGACTTCATCATAGAACTCATGCCGGATATTAGTAACTGAGCGGTATCTTCATACTCAGATGCGGTAAGACACCTCTCAGTTCCTCCTCTTCGACGTTCATTGTAGAACATTCTGTAGGTTCGGATGTTTGACCGCGACCTGAACAGGGGGGTGTTCGGCCATCACTATTTGTGGTCTCAGGATTAGTAGAGTTGTCTTGGCTATTGCTGGTCTTTGTCTTGTTACATTTCGGAAGCTGATTGGTCTCACCGGTCTGTTGTTCCTTGATGGGTACTTTGTATAAATCATCCTCTTTGATTCTCTTTCCTGATTGTTGAGCTCCATTTGTATCTTTGGTGTCATTATCTCTTCCCTCAGTTGAGGGTTTTCTTGGTGTAATTGTTACATTTTAGATTGAATTTTTAGGATAGATCTCTGGGGGGGGGGTTTGTGTTTTTAGCTCTTCTCTCAGCTTCTCATTTACATTTTCTCACTTGTCTTTGACATTTTTCTTTTAATTGAACAAAGTCTCTCCCTAATAAATCCTTTTGTGGTACACATAAATCCCCAAAGTTATATTTACATAAATCCACACTCAATTCTATCTAAAAAATAAAATAAACCCAAAAAAATCAAAATTATATATATATAAAAATTTATATATAAAAAAAAAATTATATATGAAAATTGTGTTCAATAAACCCAAAGTGTCCAAGTTCCAAAAAAAATGTTTTTCTTTCAATCCAATAAAGCAGAAATTGGTTCTAAGACTCCATGATCACCTCAAAGAAAAATAGAAAAAAAGAAAATTCATAGTGTATTACCCTTTCACAAAATGTATATATATACTTCACTCTGTGTCAACACAAAAACACACTCAAAATCATTTTGTGCAAAATAAATCCAATATATATCACAATCCAAATAGGTGAATAAAATTAAATAAATAAATAAAGTAAGTAAAACCCAAAACGTGAAAAAAACGTGATCACTCCAATCACAAGTGAATAGTGATACTAGGTACTAGTACCCTCTAAACTCCAGCCAAAAATCGATGCTAGGTACTTTTACCCTCTTGCAGTATTTTAAAGCATGAACTGACATAGGAGATCCGTATTTCTCAATCCTTCATTTTCTTAGGTTTTCCTCCCAACTCCTCATAAAAGCATAAAAAGGCTCTTTAGGCAGAATCCATAAAAATGGACAAATTTTAATAGCAACTCACATATAAAACAGGGATATCCAGCTTCCTATATTCCTCTTTCAAGTTTCAGGTTGAAAACCACATGTTTCCAACCAACAAAATGGCCACGGCGACACTTCCGGTTAGCGTGCGTGCGTGATGACGTCACTCCTCTAACGCGTTTCGTCACTTCCGGACTTCATCAGATGAAAAGAGCCTTTTTATGCTTTTATGAGGAGTTGGGAGGAAAACCTAAGAAAATGAAGGATTGAGAAATCGAGTATCACTATTCACTTGTGATTGGAGTGATCACGTTTTTTTCACGTTTTGGGTTTTACTTACTTTATTTATTTAATTTTATTCACCTATTTGGATTGTGATATATATTGGATTTATTTTGCACAAAATGATTTTGAGTGTGTGTTTTTGTGTTGTGTGCACAGAGTGAAGTATATATATATTTTGTGAAAGGGTAATACACTATGAATTTTCTTTTTTTCTATTTTTCTTTGAGGTGATCATGGAGTCTTAGAACCAATTTCTGCTTTATTGGATTGAAAGAAAAACATTTTTTTGGAACTTGGACACTTTGGGTTTATTGAACACAATTTTCATATATAATTTTTTTTATATATATAATTTTTATATATATATATAATTTTGATTTTTTTGGGTTTATTTTATTTTTTAGATAGAATTGAGTGTGGATTTATGTAAATATAACTTTGGGATTTATGTGTACCACAAAAGGATTTATTAGATTGTATACTTTCTAGGGAGAAAGTTGTGATTTTGTGTGAAGGGTTATAATATAGGAGCTTATTGATTGATGAAAGTCTCTCCCTAGCTGAGATTAAGCTTGCAATTTTTGGATCCTTAGATGTACTTTCTGAACGTACCTGCAAATTGAATCCAAGCATTCTGGTTATCAACTCATACTCCCACCAGGCATGGATTGAGCAGGTGAACCCCATAATAATACATGAAAACCTAACTTCCCCTAGGAGACTTATGGCTCTCTGGCAGAACTGGCTGGATACTCCGGTACTCACTCCCCATACTTCATTTGTCATAGGTTTTTATAGGTTTAACTTTTTTAGGCCCCTAAAAATGGACCAGCCAATTGTACCCTACTAAATGGTGACTACATTGGAGGCCGATACTTGGTGTATGATCCTGTAGACACAGGCCTACTTGAACGGTGTCAGCTATCTATGTATGTACTGGAGAGAGTTACTTGCCATGTACAGGTGAATTGTTCTACGTTGCTTCTTTTTTTCTCTTTTCATTTGTTTATAGAAGGTAACTGAAACCAGAGACAAAGCAAGTTATTGTTCTGTATGATCTGTAACATTGCCACAACTGCTTATACATTAGAATGTATGACTCCATTGTCTGGGCTGAATGTTGGATATACTGTGTGCACTTAAAAACTTAATACAATTTAGTTTAATTAAATTTTTATATATATATATATATATATATATATACAAATGATGATGTACATATGCTTTCTATATATATATATAACACAGGTGTCAAACACCTGTATCCAGATCCTGCCCTCTAAGTTATTTCATGTGGCCCTTGCACCTCTCCTTCAGTTACCCCCTTGTCTCCTCCCCCACCTTTTCTCAGCAGTCGGCAGCAGAGAGCAGAATAGGACTCCTCTGCCAAATCCTGCACCTCTCAGTGCAGCTGCAGTATCCCCTCCCTTGGTCTCAGAATTTCAGAATTCAGTAGACTCTGGTAATTGACTCCACTCCTCCTCTGGTCCTCCTCCAGACCCTGCACTTTCTGCTTTCCAGCTCTGCCCCCAAAGGAGGTGCACGGTGATGTTAGAGAGGGTGTGGGGTTCTTGGCATCTGATTTAATGGGGGGGTGAGGTGCTCTGGACATCTAGTCTTACAATTACAACTGGCCCTTTGAGGACAACCATAATGCTGACACAGCCTGCGATGATATATAAGATATATTTAATAATGATCATTAAAAATAAAAACCAACTTTAGCCCTTTTATATAGAATTCTGATTTTTATTTTTTTTCCTGTACAGGTGGATTGATGAACCACGTTTTTGGTCATGCTGCTGGTCTTCGTGAATACAACTAAGTCACATGGGAAACCAAACATCTGGGTGTTGTAATTGACTGAAAGTTTTTATTGCAGTTCACTGGAGGAGTCACACAGGACACAAGTCATATCCGTGTTCTAAATGTCATAAGTGCTTTGGGTCCTCTTCAACACTGATCCAACCTCAGAGGACAACATGAGAAAAGTAATTTCAGTGTTCTGGAAGTGACAATTGCTTTACAGTAAAGTCCAACCCATGTATACATAAGAGGAGTCATTTCAAGCGATTTCTTGTTTGGAACGTGACAAAGATTTTACAATGGAGGCAAAACATATCACACACCAGAAGGTCCACACTGAAGAGAAGCCATATCAGTGTTCAGAATGTGATAAAACTTTTAAACAGAGGGATCACCTTGTCATACATGAGAGGGTCCACACTGGAGAGAAGCCATATCAGTGTTCTGAATGTGATAAAGCTTTTAGACATAAGTCATATCTTATCACACACCAAAGGATCCACACCGGAGAGAAGCCATATCAGTGTTCTGAATGTGACAAAGCTTTTACACAGAAGTCAAATCTTATCATACACCAGAGGAATCACACTGGAGAGAAGCCATATCAATGTTCTGAATGTGATAAAACTTTTAAATGGAGGGGACACCTTGTCATACATGAGATGATTCATACTGGAGAGAAGCCATATCAGTGTTCAGAATGTGACAAAGCTTTTACACAGAAGTCAGATCTTATTGCACACCATGGGGTTCACACTGGAGAGAAGCCATATCAGTGTTCTGAATGTGATAAAACTTTTAAACGGAGGAGACACCTTGTCATACATGAGAGGGTTCATACTGGAGAGAAGCCATATCAGTGTTCTGAATGTGATAAAACTTTTAAATGGAGGGGACACCTTGTCATACATGAGAGGATTCATACTGGAGAGAAGCCATATCAGTGTTCAGAATGTGACAAAGCTTTTACACGGAAGTCAGAGCTTATAGCACACCAGAGGGTCCACACTGGGGAGAAGCCATATCAATGTTTGAAATGTGATAAAACTTTTAAACGGAGGAGACACCTTGTCATACATGAGAGGGTTCATACTGGAGAGAAGCCATATCAATGTTCTGAATGTGATAAAACTTTTAAACGGAGGGAACACCTTGTCATACATGAGAGGGTTCATACTGGAGAGAAGCCATATCAGTGTTCAGAATGTGATAAAACTTTTAAACGGAGGGATCACCTTGTCATACATGAGAGGGTCCACACTGGAGAGAAGCCATATCAATGTTCAGAATGTGATAAAGCTTTTACACATAAGTCATATCTTATCACACACCAAAGGATCCACACCGGAGAGAAGCCATATCAGTGTTCTGAATGTGACAAAGCTTTTACACGGATGGCACATCTTATCACACACCAGAGGATCCTCCACACTCGAGAGAAGCCATATCAATGTTCAGAATGTGACAAAGCTTTTACAGGTAATGCCGGGCTAATCTGTCACCAGAGGATTCACAAGCTTGAGCTGCATAAATGAAAATCCAGAAGATTGGACAATATTAAAGAAGTTAAAGCTGTCTCATTAGGTTCACAGCCCCAATGTCTTCCCAAAACGACGGAAGACATAAAAAGACAAAATGCTGCTTAGAAAAAAAAATCTGTGAACAATCAGGAATTTAATGTTCGGATGCATTGGGTTTAGTGCTTATGTCCATCAGGAACACACCTAGAAGGCCTGTGAATATTTTACCTATGGACATTTTTTTCAGATAAGCAGCAATGACTGAACTGTATTCCTCATCTTTATCCTTTTTTATGGAGCATTGACTGAACATGTAATTCATTTTCATCATTCACTAACTGAGCTATGTTCCCATGCATTTTCTTCATTGACAGAATCTGACCAACCAATACATGACCAACAATGCCTCAGTACCAGAGTCTAGGATGGGGTCCAATGGCTTCTTGCCAAGCCTCTGAAACCTCATTAGGAGAGTCCATTCCATGTTCTTTTGAGAATTAATACATCATAAGCAAGGCTTGAGGGTTCCAGCTAAGCCCACCGTGTCCACACTTCCTATTACATGTTCCACCTCCTCTCCCATGATCAATGCCTCCTTTCCATGTTCTATATCCTCTCATGGATGACATCTTTCCAGGCAGGTCTGTAGCTGAGATACCAGCCAGATAGAGGTCTCTGGTTAGAGAGTAACTTCTTAAGCTGCTGTAGGCCTTCCACCATGGAGTTAATGCTGTTTTAGGGGACATATTCAACAGTACCACCTAATCCCAGCTGGCCACTTGTGTTTCATCTGGTTTTCTCAAAAGGGATTCTATCAGGTGATGATTGGATGTCTTTGTTATCTTTTTTTTTTCTGTCCAGCTATTGCTCATCTCCATAAACTATTCACACGGTACAACTGCAAGAGATCTGAACTTACAAAGTGCTAAGTGTGCGGTCATATTCCTACCACTTCTTCTGGGAGACTGAAATTCCTCTTATTGGGGTTCACCTTAATGACTCTGAATGGACGAGTTAAGACATCGGCGCCACAGTGTAACAATGGGCAAAATCAATAATTACATAAATGGTGCAATCTGTCATTAGCATAAACGTTTTTGTTTTTCCGAATCTCCCCTTGTAACTTTTTTATTACCTGTTGACCCTCCCAGTTTTTTTCTGCTTCCTGTAGAAGGCCAAGCTATTTGGCAAAAATGAAAGTTGGATGGTTGGGAAACACCATATAAGACTGCTGGGGGTGCTTACAACTGTCATCTTCCATTCATATGGGGGGTCAGCGTTAGCTGAAGTTGGACTTTACTTGTTGTGTGTCTTACTTATAATCTATCTAAGACTTCCCTGTACAGGGTGACAACGCTGCTGTGTAATGTTCCTACAGAATGATCAGGGTTGTCACCCTGTTACAGAAGGGGGAAATAACAGATCTACAGACAGGACCAACAGCTGATACAACTATGTTGCTGAGGGAACTCTGGGAATGCTAATGACAGATTGCATTACACATTCAGTTAGCAGACTTCCTGCTGTTGGTCTTCTGTTTGAATTGTGTTCTGATATTTACTGTCCTGCTGTAAAAGGTGTAAATGATTGTCCATGTTTTCTGTAGTGGCAGGGACTACAAACTCATATCAGGAATATTAGGATGGGTACTTACCCAAGGGGATCACCTTTTTGGATTTGGAAGAAACATTTCACATAGTTTCTTTCCATTAATGGCACCGACAAAGGGAGTCTCACTTACTTTACTAACAATAGGAGAGCCAATCACAGGCCAGTAACATTTCATGGTTTCTCACTGTAATTGCAGAATGTTTAATCCCCATTGGTCCAATGGATTCCTAGTCCTTCCAGATAACATTTGCTTCTTGTGTGGAAGGAGCACCCTAAAGTGGCTTCCCTTCAATTCCACCCATAGCTGTACTTTAGGTTATGTTGCCCCTCCCCCCATATCTGTAAAGGAAAGCCTCAATTTCTCCTAATACTCCCCTGGCCTTCCAGTGAGAAGAAACATTTTCTCTGGATTGGAGCTGCTTTATGCAGTGAGCCCTTCATAGACGGGATGGGGAATCTAAGATAAGTAAGATGAACCGGTGTACTGGAGTCATGGATCAGGTAACCAATGACACCACTGATGTTATAGCAGAGCTGACAGCAGAAGTGGCTCCACCATCTAAGGTGGTGTCACAGAACTGCTTGGCAGCTGACTATCTCTTGGCAGACCAAGGTGGAGTCTACAAATGGTGTCAGATGGAGAGTGTTGTACGTTTATATTAGATAATGAGGATCTCAGAAGGGGATATCTACACAAGGTAAAGGAGTTCCAACAGGAACCTGGGTGGGGGGAGGTGGGATCCAATGTTTTGGGTGGGTTTAGTTGGAATCTGGTTGAGTAATATGGTGGGTTTGCTTCTTAAGCCATTAGTTGCTACCATAGTTTTGATTTTGAAATATACATTTCTGTCTTTTCTTTTACTGCCAGAGATTATTTTGCTTTTTTAAGTTATATTCACATTTTTAGGCCATATGATTAGTTAAAACCCCAAACATTTCTTTTATTTTCTGAAATCAGAGACTCTGGAGAATATAATGGTGGTAGTTGCCATTTTTCATGTCACAGAATATTAGCACAGCTGTTTATCAAATACATATTTTCTGTAAAATAGATAATGTTAGTGCACAAAGAACACAATATATGACCCAATTTGGTGAAATTATAAAATATGGGGTTAGCATCAAGTATATAGATACCAAACATGTCAAACTTTATAAACTGTGCGTACTTGTGAAATGGTGACAAACTTCAGTTTGACGCTTTAAGAGCCTTTATAGGTTATCAGTTCAGATAGTTATCCGTGAACGATGGCCTCAGAATGATTGTTCTCACTCTCGCTTGTGCAATGATATGTAAAATGTGTCGTGTGATTTGTTTTGTGGGTTTTTATTTTTATAATGTTACTTAAATTTTTTTCATCTCTTTTTACACTTAACATGGCTTCTATCAGATAGGGGGTTGATAGCCCCCCTGTGGTACATATTTCTGGTCACAGGTCCTCTTTAAAGAGACATCAGAACATTATTAGACCCCCAATGTCACCTCTGTACCCCAAGAAAGATGGTCAAGCACAGATCATGCCTAATCAGCTCCTTCCCAAACCATAATGACTGAAGAAATGACAGCGCTGAACCCAGAAATGACATAATCTCCCACCTCCCACATTCATTCACTGAAGGGGAGATCAGAGATCAGATGTTTGCTGATTTCCTTCTGCCCTCACCACTGACACCCACCATGCCTGTCTTGGGCTTGCAGGAAGGACAGCTGAGCCCGGTATATATGGCGGGGGGAGGACCTTCAGTGCGGCTGAATCACTTCCACCAGAAAGCTGACAGATGGCCTAACAAATGTAGACAACCCCCGGGTGCTATAGCTATAAGGCCGTGCTGCTGCTGATGGAAACCTTACGTTGGCCGGAGTGAAAGGGTTCCACTAATGTACATCTGCCAAATCCGTATCTGAGTAGACCATAGAAGCAGCATTAGAAAGAAATGTGAGCTTGGCTTCAGTCAGGCGATGGTCCTGGTGGTCCTGGTCTTGTTCTCCTTCAGGTCTCTCACCTTGTAGATGGTGACATGGACTTGTGTGGGAATGAGTAGGAGGGGCTCGGGGTTCTCTTGTACTCAATCAGCTTGTTATGGATAAAAACATGAAAGTGTTTTCTGGGAATTTACAGGGATTTGGATGTTCAGAGGGTCACATAAGTGGGCTGGTATTAATGAGGGGTGTGTCATATGTTAATGAGTTTCTTAGCATAGATGATATAAATGGTATAAATAGATCCTTGAAATGTAAACAATCTATCTCTTTTCTTCTGTTAAAGTGTCACATATATATGATTAATAAAGTTGAATTATAATTTCATCACACAATACTGTGGTCTGGGTTCTTCTACAACACATCCCCCCAAATATGTCCTCTTCCAGTTATAGGGGTCTGATGGAATGGGACACCAGCTGATGGTATCTCTTAGGCCCCTTGTACATGGGGGGTCCAGCCCCTGTGGGTGCAATCCTGGCATTATAATACACCTGGTAGGCACAGGTACAGCGTCCAGCCCCGCTGCCTGCAGCCTGTCAAAGTCTACACTACAGCTGGACGGGGCTCAATGCTGCACCACCTGTACCTCGTGTTTAGGGAGCTCCGTGTTCAGGGAGAAATGACCGCCATCCTGATCAGACAAAGCATAAAGAAGATGTAGGCAGGTGCAGTCTGCTTCTTCTACTGTAGGGGGCACCCAACCAGGGGGACATCCCAGCCTAGAGAGGAAGTCGGGGGACACTTGGTTTCTCTGTGGTTTCCCGGTTCCTGGAGACTGTGTGGAATGAAGGGGTCCATGGAGTCCTGGAGACATTTTACATTTTTTTTGTTTTACATGTTTTAAAGACCATTTATACCTTAAAATTACTTAAAACCCCCAAATATTATATATATTTTTCTTCACAACAGCAGACACACTAGAGGATAAATTGTTATTAGTTCTGATGTTTTATGATTTTTATTATTTTACACAATATTAGTGCAATGATTTATGAAAGGCAAAATTTCAGTTAAAAATACAGCAGATGAGAATTCAGAGAAAGCTCCACCCTCATTCATTCTCCACCAATCAAGGATCTCACTCCAGTTACCCAGTCACCGTGGGCATGATTTCCTTGACATCCATCATTGGTGTCAGTGAGATAAAATAAGCCCCATTGTTGGTGTCAGTGAGATAAATAAGCCCCATTGGTGTCAGTGAGATAAAATAAGTTCCATTTGTTGGTGTCAGTTAGATAAAACAAATGCCATTGTTGGTGTCAGTGAGAATAAAGTGTACCCCCAGCCCAGCATTGGTGGTCAGTGGTGGTACTTACCTGATCCCAGCCTCCGGCTGCCTCTCTGCTGATGTCACAATTATACTTTCACTGTAGGAAAGGAGATGCCGGCTCCCAGCAGTCGGGTATAATTGCAGTCCCTGGTGATGGAACCCAGAGAGTGTTCCGGAGTCGTCACCTCACTGCCACTTTGAAGTGTCCTGGAATCTGCCAGACATGGACATGATCATTGG